TAATACACAGTTACTTAATATTATACATGATAGCTATTTGATTAAATGCAGTTAAGGATACAAGTTGGGACAACCTTGGCAGATGACTGCGAAGGTCCGTTACTCCTAACTTTATTGCTTAAATAAACCTATGAAACAACGCCAGTTTAATACACCCATTAATTAATATGGAGTTCGGAAGAAGTTTTCCCTGCGTAAGATCGGCTGAGCAGAACGTATGTTACTATCGGAAGGTGGCGTTCGGATTGGACCGAGGATGGAGCGGTCTGCAGCTGACGGGGATATGCGTGCATCTCTGTAGTCTATGGGCTTAAGATGCCTTCGAGGAGTCCTGTCATCCATTATTTGTTGTTTCGCAGAAGGCGCTAATGCCCTACTAAATGAAACATTCTCTTAGGGAAATGACCACATCGTTTTAACATTGGGAAATTACTTAAGAACCTTTGTAAATACGTAATTGAGACAGAAGTATACGAGTCTTGACCACATAAAGGGTGACTTCTTGAATATCACAGAAGTAATACCTGTTCACTGACTCAGCACCGCGAGGTATCGTATCGGAGGAATAAAACTTTGACCAGTAGTCACGCGGCATCTTAAGAAAAGCCAGCATCACTTGTGTCTGAAACAACAAGTCCTTAGTCTCCGATCAGTATGGATGATACAAAAGGATAGCTGAATGAAAATTGTTTCAAAGTCGTACCTGCTTTGCAGCTTCATCAGTACTTTGGGCAATGTTCATTGTACGAACAGGAGCACGACCAACTATAGTAGGAGCTACACTTCGAGCAAGCACTTCTGGTGTCATTTTATTCCGACTGCTGTTCTCACAAACCTAAAAAAGATTGTTTAAAATTCTTTGGCAAACTGTAGCACCGCAAAAAAAAAGTTAATTTTTGAAGTTAACAACGTCACAAGACTCACCTTTTGAAAGTGGCAGCAAAGATATGCAAGAGTATCCCGATTAGGTATCGGAAGGTCCATAACACACTGATCAATTGCTGCAAAAACTGATGCTTCATCACCCTGTTTCGCCGCAGCAACGAATTCCGTCCATGATGAGCTTGGTATCAATGAATCCTAAACCAACGTGACGTAAATTACTTGGAAAAAATTGAAGATGAGTGTTTTTAAGCCACCGACTCTCAGCTGTAGCAGAAATCGTTTAATATATCCTGTGATAGTCTCAGGGTCCTGAATTTCCAATTTTGGCTGATATCGAGCATGCTTGAAGTCATTCAATAGCTTCAGTATTTGGGATTCCTGGCTGAAAATTATTTTTTCGTTAAATTAATATACAATAAATGACGGTTATGAGGCCGACAAAGTTTCATCTAATAGCCATACCCGGGAATGCGATAAAGCCCTTCTGAATTAAGATAGTAACGTTCTAGAGCAATCACACAGTGAATGATCGAATGTGGAATCATTGGCTGAGAGTTGGGGCAAAAGTCTTTCAAACGTGGGCGTTGTTTTCCAGCAGCTCGTGGAGTCGGAGTAAGAGGGATACAAGGTAACGGCGCTCGACCCGCACAGCTTTTGTGTACATGCAGATTGCAATCTCAAAAACAATAATTAAGCAGCACACTTGAGAACCAAAAAACTCATAACCTTTTTGTCAGCAATTACCGCTGCATTTCCAAGCTGGTTTCCCTCCCCAGCGTATCCAACATCCACAAACATCGCATTTCTCGCTGAAGATTAGTTTGAGGCCAATATAAGTATGACCTCGATTCTCAATTGTTGTCCCTCTGACCCAGCTTCGTGACGAAACAAGTGGACTACGACTGAAAATTCCTTAATGACTCCATCAAACCGTGATAAATCGTGCATGAACAAAATACAAATTTGTCTATGATCCACTAACTTACAGGTCGACAGTACTCGTAGTCCCACAGCGCGGAGTCAAGGGATTAAACTTTGCAGTTGACTCTGCGATCCGTTGATGCCGATCCTTGAAAATTTTTTTGAAAAATAGACATCAGAAATAAAAATTGTTCAGTGAAGACTTTATCTACTAAGATTATACAGCAAAGGCTGCTCAAAAATAAGGCTTACCAGTAAAATATTTGATTCAGACATTGACCTATTGAAAGAACGTCTGATTGAAACTTTAGCTTTTGGAGGAGCATTACCATTCGGATCAACCGTAACAGTCGTTGTCGTCGTTATCAGTGTGTTAGTGTTTGTGTACGGTGAACCCCTAGACCGTTTACTAGGAACCTCCTTAAACCTCCAAGATAAACGATGCAAATGAAGACTCCGAAGAATTGCAAACACAGTTGCAGCACTTTAGCAATTGTAACAGTAAGACCTCCAACAATTGTTTCAAAACTATTGCTAACAAGGATAAAAAGAATAGCTC